GGCCCCTTACACATGTTTTTAAATTGTTGTGTAATGCGTAGTTCATTGTATGGATTCATTCTTTTATCACATATTAAAATTTCAACTAAACGCCAACTCCTGTGCTTGGAGGTGAGACTCAGTGTTGCTCCAGGTTTTCAGACATTATTGGAGCCCCCAAAAGCAAAATCTTAGTAATATCTGGGGTAATGAGAGGAGACAGTACGTGTGAGAGAGGAAATAATCTTGTTTTGCCTCACTGCTTAGTCCCTGGCGAGACAGCCGGGTGATACTGTGCAGAGCGGCCTTCGGTCAGCGCAGCATCGCCAGCCCCGGGCTGCTGGGGCCAGGCGGTCCTTAGTGTGTCGTAGCTCATCTCGCCTACGTCTTCCTGTGGCGTCCCGAGGTCATGAGGTTCCCAGACATGTTCCTCAAGGAATGGGCCTCACCAGCTTCCCTGTGCTGCCCGTGTCACAGAAACCGCAGTGATGGCGGGTGGGGGTGCTGCTGGTTCCCCCCTCTCATATCTCCCCATCATCTCTGAGAGGCAGCCGACCTACATCTCCAGGAGGGAGCGTCCCACAATTGCTCTCGTAATGAACCGCCTGCCAGAGGTTTTAGAGGATCCCTCTGTGTTGTCTCCGGAGGGGTCCTGTCCTTCTTCCTTCTAGCCCTGGCCATTAAAATCACAGCTTTCCTCCCGAGGAAATCCTTCTCATCTTCTAGCTTGATCAGCACGGCCCCTCATGTTTCTCCCGCGGACATGTTCCTATTCTGCTTCACGATGGAGAGCCGTTTTGTAATTTTGGTTCACGTGTCTTCTTGAGACTGAAATAAATTGATTCCTAAGGACAGCCCTGTGCGTTTCCTTCCTATTAGCCTTTGGATTTATGATAATTCCATTGATTTTTTTTCCCCCTTTACCCAAGCTCAGGAAGAGTGTAAAGGGCCCGTTATTATTTTCTCGATCCTGACAAAATGTGCACATACCCCCCGCCCCCCTCCAAGCACTCCCCATGCTTGAACTCATAGTATGTTTCTCTTCGTGTGTGCATTTCAACCACCATGGTCAAGATTTACCTCTTGCCATAGTCAGGTAACTCCGCTAGCTAAGGTGAAAGCCACATGAATCCAGTTCCTTGGTTGCCCTCTCTTTGGCCCTTTGTGCAGTTCAACACATGATAAAGAACAGAATTTGGAATGGCTATCTCTGATCCTGTGCCCCAGGGCTTGTGTGGAACCTTCTGTGCCTTTTGTTCATTCCTGGCTGCCATCCTGGCCGACAGGCCGGGTAAAAGGGGGAAATTGGCTGTGGCAGTAGAAATCATTCGACCTTCCCATGCCCAAGAGGTCTATATATGTTGAATCGTTGCTTGTTTTTAGATTGGCCCCAACTGGAACCATGAGGCCCTTTTTTGTACCCACACTTAAAGCCCTCATGTCCCCCCATCTAGTATTTTGGTCCCATATACTGGTCTAGCGTGCATGGTAATGGTGGAGCAAGCGCCCATTAAAACCCTCTGGTAAAAGCAGATTGCAGAACTCAGCTTCACTCCAGGCTGCTCTGATGCTTCTTATTTCCACCGCCTTCCACTTGATATTTACCCCAATGGGGAGAAGTGGGATTAGAGCTGGCCTGGGTTCCACTGGCCAGTGAACTGCTAGAGTGAACATCTGCCTTACCTGCACCCCGTTGCATGCAGAACGCAGAGGGGCAGGAATCTCTGAAGGAGAGGGCACTCCCAGAGGCGTTACTGTACAGTGACAGAAATGTCCTGAGCAGAGGGCACAGGAAGAAGGCCATGGGGTTACAGGGACGGGAAGAAGAGAGCACAGGCGGTGTGAGACGGGGTCCTGCCTCCTAGGTAACTGGGCCTTTAAGCACACTGTGGCCCAATGGATGGCACGAATGTGGTATCAAATTACAGCATGCCAGCAGTGTGTGAAAATGCCCGATTTTCTGTACAGGTGCCAGAACTGGGTTCTCTCCATCTTTCAACTTCAGCAAATCTGAAAGGGGGAAAGGATCTCATTGTTACTTTGCATTTCTCTTATTAGTAACTTCGAACATCTTTTCAAATGTGTGTTGGGCCCTTGTATGTCTTCTTTTGTGACTTGTGATTTCAGTGTTTTGTTATTTTTTGTTGAATTGTATAGCAGACATTGTGACACTTTTGCCTTAATGTATCGGAAGTCTTGTTAAGGTTGTGCCTCACGTAATGAAAGGCAGATAGTAGCTCAAACAAGAATAAATCAATGAGCAAGTACTTATTATGAGTTTCTAGATAGTGCTCATATACATGCATACTTAGAACTGAAACCTGCTTTTAGTGCCTCACATTGTTTTATGACCTGGTAATTATGAATCAGGTGGGCCTTTTATTGCATTAGGCAAATCATAAATGCTAAAAAACTTTGACCTTTCGTGCATGTCCACACATGCCCTGCTGAACAATTTATTGTTCCCTTAACCTAACCATTCTTTCCATCTTTGCTGTTTGTTCATGCACAGTTATTCTTTTCATGCCCCAGGTTATAAACCTTGGAGCCATGCATGTATCTTTCCAAGTTGAAGGCTGTCTGGTTCTCAGCCTCCCTTCCCAGAAAGTTAACTCCCCCCTCCGCAGGCTGCCCCTGCACGTCCAGTCATTGCTGATGTACTTAGCCCACGTGTTGGAATGAGCTGATGGACTCGTGCTTCTGCCATTAGACTGGGAGCTCCTCAGAAGCAAGATGCAGACCTTACTTACTTTTGTACCTTCAGCCTCTATCACGGCTTGGCTCACATTAAGCACATGATTAATGTTTGTTGTATTTTATATTTCCATTTAAAAGGGGATGCTGCTAAGTCTCATAGTCTACTGGTAGATGAACCTTTCCCCCAACTTTTTGTTTGAAAAATTGCAGAAGTTCAGGGAAGTTGAAATAATACCACACAGAACATTCATATTGGATTCATATCACTCTGACACATAGCTGGTCCTCTGCTCAGAAACCTACAGTGACTCCTTGCTGGCCGTTGGGTCAGAAGTAAACGATAGCGTTCATTATCCTTAAATGGTGGCAGCTTACAAAATGTTGCCACTCTGCTCGGTCAGGCCAGTCTTACTGTTCTTGTACATCTCGCTCTGCGCTGCCCCGATTCTTGCTTCGTTGATTTTACACATGTCATTTCCCTGTGTAGAACATGCTTCTCCCTTTGCTTGATCCCAAACTTTTACACGTTAAGTGTCCTGAGTTTGCACATCTCTAATCGCTGTTATTATTCATTCTGGATAATTCCTAACCACATTATTAACTGTTTGGAGGTAGGTACTAGGTCTGTTTTGATCTGGTTTCCTTCATAGAGCCTAGCATGCTGATTTTTGATTTGGCTGGTATCTAATGATATTCCTGATGTGTTGGGTTGTCAGAAAAGTCATGACACATTTTTGCAACGAAAACCATAGAAAAAATACGTCATGAGTTTTCTGACAGCCCAATATTTGTAGTATAATTGGACTCTACCATTGATTTATAATACCTGTGGTGCCCCAAACAAAACTTACGCCCTGTTAGTGAAAAACAAAAGTGTATCAACCCAAGCCAGACAGTCCGGATCTCGGTGATCAGCTCTCTGCAAGATCGTGATTTCCCCCCAAGATAGGAAAGACATTCTTTGGAGTCACTCCTTTTGTGATTGTTCCCAAGAATTGATTTGCACTTTGGAGTCATTAAAACTTACATCGAGTACAAAGTTAGAATAAGTAAGTCCAAAGTATGAAAATAGCTCCCTTAAGACTCTGTGGGTGAGAGAGGTTCTCGGGAAAAACATCTTAGAGGAAGACCATCAGGCCTTCATGACTGATGCCTTTGTGGGTCTCCAAGTTCACTCTGATACTTTTCAAGCTTGGTAACAGAGATAAAGATGATATCTCTGAGACAGGCAGGGACACTAGGAAAGAAAGCTGATGCTGGGAGATCAACTCCATCCTGAAGCATGAAATCGGACTGTGTCAATTCCCTGCTCATAATGAATTAGTGCCTCCCATTGTTTATTGGACAAAGCCGGGTTCCTTTGTACTCAGGGGCCCTAGTTAGCTACTAGCTCATTGCCACCCTCCCCCACCACATACACACACCCACATTGTTAATGCTGCAGCCATGCCTGATCACTTGTATTTCTCCGAGCCTATTGGCTATTTTTCATCCTTATTTTGTAGGGGATGCCATTTCCTCTACTTAGAATGCCATCCACTGTCTATGTGGCAAACTCCTCTTCAGTCTTCTAAATCACATTCAGGCGTCACATCCTTTGTAAATAGGATTTGACGTAACTTGGTTTGCAAGTAACTTGGTTTGCGAGTGTTCCGCAAGACGAGCAAACGTTTCTATTAGGTTGGTGCAAAAGTAATTGTGGTTGTTGCCATTACTTTGCACCAACCTAATAATACATTTTATCTTGGTAAATGAATGATGTCTTACAATACGAGTAGTTTGTTTCCAGAACAAATTATGCTCGCAAACCGAGGTATTACTGTACTTTCTTACTCCTCTGAGAGCACATTTTACACTGTTATCCTTCACTTACATGAATGTCCCCCCTGCTATATTCTGAGCTGCTATGGAAGAAAATGGTGTTCCCCTCGTCTCTGTATAGGGCCTGGTTCGTATGTGTGCTCAAACCATTGGTTGAGACTGTCATATGACCCATCTGGATCACGAATAATTTTACTTTATCTTGGAAGCCAGAATTAGGTGTAATTAAAAGAAAATACAAATACAATCTATATGTGTCTATTTTCTATTATAACTTATGTTTGCTTTTTATTTTATTTTAATTTTCAGCAAGTTTGTCAAAGATGAAAGTGACCTTATCAGCTTTGGATACTTCTGAAAGCCTTTTCACGCCTTTGGTAGTCATAGAACTTGCTCAGAATGTCAAAGATGAAACCAAAGAATGGCTGAAAACCAGAATTATCGCTAAAAAGAAAGATGGAGGTGAGTAAAATAAATATTACTCAGACTTAACCATGTTCACTGGCTAAAAAATATATTTTTAAATGTGTTTTACAGGTTTTTCATTGATATATTTCTAAAATTAATGTCTATTTCTTTGCTCTTTGTTATTTATCTAGGACTTGAAAGGAGGTCTTAAGTCAACATTAGACTGTAAGTCTCCATTAGACTATTAGCGACATGAGCGATTTGTTCACAGCTATGAAGGCTGTGCCTAGCTCAGTGCTTGGTGCATAGTAGTTGCTTAATAAATATTTGTCAACTGAATGAACATGTATCCATTGAGTATTCTTTGTGTGTCAGTTATGGTGCTAAGGGAGAGATACATACAGCTTTTACCTGCAAGGATGTTACTGTCAGGGTAAGGAGACCGAATGCCAATTCCTAGAAGGTGAAATAACAGAAAATAAAAGCTAACGAAAGAGCTGTTACAGAGCAGTGCATGATGCTTAAAAATGAATTGCATATATACTTGTTATATATAAAAGTAAAGAGAAGGAAGAGGTGATACTGGGTGATGCTTTTCAGAGTGGTAAGGGGTGACTTTATAGAGGAAGCCAAACTTTAGCCCTCTCCTGAAGGGCCAGCCAAAAGGGGCCTAGATCAGGGTGGAGGACATTTTACATGAGCAGACTCTTCATAAACCTACCCAAACAACACCTAAAACTTCACTAAGTCTCCTACACTAGACAAAACTGAAATACTCTTTTAAAACATTTTGACTATAAACAGGATGCTGTCTTAAAAATAAAACTTTGAGTCAATGTGGAATTTAAAATTTTTATCCAAATAATAGAACCAAAAATAAACTTAAAAACAGGAGTACCTGCTTGCTGAAATCTGAGATATTTCACTGGACCAGAGTCCCTTCTTTAAAAGCCCCGGATGTAAGCACATTTGTAGTATCATGGCGTGAGAGTCTCCAGTGTATTCCCCACCCTCTCCTCTGCTCATTGTGTGGCTTTAGGAGGAACAGTATGGGCCTGTGGAGTTGGAAATAAAAGAGATGCCAAGAAAAAAAAGAAAAGAATTGGCTGAGAACTGTTTAAGAAACAGTTAGATCCTCAGATCCTTTCCATATTGTACTACCCAGCAGAAGACTCTGCTTATTGTTCTCTGGAGGGTGTCAGATGCATGGATTTTTGGCATGGGGGATTCTGTACTGAAAATAGGGTAACAACTGAGTATTGTTACTCCTGTCCCCCACCCCACCAATCTCATACCTAATTTAGTTTCTAAAATGTTAGCAGTTGGATTCAGATTATCTAGGAGGGAGATCAAATAATCTTTCTTTGGGGAATCAGGCCAACTCAAGACAAAATAACGAAGGTACCCAAATCAGAGTTGCCCATGGAAAATGACCTGGCCAGACTTCACTGCATGAAAGGTCATTAGAAGTTCTGTTTAGCCTCTTAGAACCCCTTTCTTAAACATGAGCATACAACAAAAGATTACCAAATGTCCAAGGGAAATCCCTAACATGAAAAGGAAAGTTAAAACTGAACAAAACAGCAAACTATGCAGAACAAGAAAACCAAAAGAGAATTAAAATCTCAATTCTCAGAAATATAAGAAGATAGAACATCTATACATCAAGAGTAGGATATTATAAAATAATCATTTAGAGTAGGATATTATAAAATAATCATTTTTAAAAAAGCAGCTCTTATAAAATGAAAATATGAAAAAAAATAAAAACTCAGTTAGAAGGGTTAGAAGATGATTTTAACAAAAATCTCCTAGAAAGTGGAGCAGAAAGGTAAAGAATTGGAAAATATGGGAGAAAAATATAAGAACGTTAGAGGACTAATCCAGCAGGTGCCCATCTGAATAAAAGGAATTCTAGAAAAGGAACAGAAAAAAAAGAAGAAATCATCAAAGAAAAACTAAAGGCGGAAGCCATGCTTTTCCAGATTGAAAGGAAATGTCCCACTCAATGTCCAACAGTGTGAATGAAAATGGCATATCACTGGAAAGTTCCTGAATCCTAGGGGTGGAGAAGATACTACAAACTTCTAGAAAAAAGAAAACAGCTGAGATATAAAGGATCAGACTTAACAGAAACATTGTAAGCTAGAAGGCAGTGGTGTAACACATTTATTTCTGAAGATAAATAGTTTTAGTCTAGAATTCTGAACCCACCTAGCTGCCAGCAAGGTGTGAGGGCAGAGTGTTGAGACTTCCCTAAGATGATGTCGATAGGGTACCTCTCATGCCAGTGTATTGAGGGGAGACTTAAACAATTGGTAGAGAGCACAGGGGATTGAATTATCGATAAGTGCAAAATAAACTAAGCAAACGATAAGACAGTTAATTTGGGGGAAAATGCAAAGTTGTAGAAAAGGAAAATCAGCATATTGTAAGGCTCAACTATATATATCATGCAGTCATAATAATGAAAATACCGATGAAATGAAAAGGATGATCTAACTATATTGTGAGAATGGGGTGATGGGAATGGTAGATGGAAATGGTGAAAATAGGCGGGAAAAGAGAGCTAAATCCTCATCTTCCAAGGCCTGAAAAAGAAATAGCTGTATAAGCATGCTGGTTGGGGACCTGAAAGTAAATAACAAAGGAATCACCTGAACAATTTGGAAGTCATTGCCCCTGGGGAAGGTAAACTGGCCGGAGGAGATAGGGACTGCTCTTTTGCAAAACAAGGTATTGACAGATGGTTCTCCCCGAAGGTTGTACCAATTTATACTCCAGGAGTGCCTTTCCCCACATATTCTCTGTGTCAGTTGAGATCTTGCAAGCAAGAGATGCTGAGATGAGATTTATACACAGGTTTATTGAGGGGAACATTTGTAGAAAGATAAAGGGGGCGGGAGCAGGAGTGGGCATGGAAAGGCCTGAGACACTTGTGAAAGGAGAGAGGGAAGGAAGGAGGCTTGAATAGGAAGAGCCTCAAACTACAGCACCGTATCAGCCAGGCCCAAGTTGCCCTTTAAAGGAAACCCATGTTGAGCAGGAATGGCGTCCCCTGTGTGCTCAGCCAGTGGCTGGGAGCAGCTGGGGGAGCATGGCCTTGCAGTGAGGGTGCTTCATCCAAAGCGGGGCAGCAGGAGACGGTCAGTCAACTCTGCTTTTGACAGCAGATTCTCTTGAGGGGAGATCTGGGTGGAGTGGGGCACTTCCATGACTACTGTACTCCCAGCCTATTGGTTACCAACTTTTGATCTTTGCAGTATACAAGGTGAGAAATAGCATATGTGTGTCCTCTTTTGCATTTATCTGAATATGAATGAGGTGAAGGATTTTATATTTAAGAGCTATTTGTGTCTTCTGCAAATTGAATATATCTTTCATTGATTTTTTTAATTAAAATCCTTAATGCCTCTTGTAAATTATCCAAATTATAGTGCCACAATACATTAATCTTAATATGTTAATCCATTTGGTTAAGTGAAATATAAATCCTGCTCATTATCCTGTTACCATATGATTAGTATTTTCATAATTCGTCAATCCTCTCTAGAGGGTAAATAGTAAATAAATATACCTTAAAAAGTTTGATGTAGGTAGAAATAAAACATTAGAAAAAAAATCCTTTTTCTCCATAATCTTTTACATAATAATTACATATATAATATCAAATCACAATATCTACTCTAATGTTTTGGGACCCTATTTAAGAAAAATGTTAAATCAAATTGAATACAGAAATTTATGGTGAAAATTATTGAAAGATTATATTGCTCTTTATTATTTAGTATTTTACATTCACAAAATTTGTTATAGTCTAATGTAATTGTGGCATTTTTACTGGGTATTTTCTTAAATTTTGGTCTTTTTTTTATTAAGAAACTATATTTTAATATTTTTTTATATTTCTATATTTTTACTTAGTGCAGTTGTATTCCTAGAGCTAATAAATATTGGGTTCTTGTTTCATACCTACTTCTAATTTGAGTAACTTGCAAGTCACGTATTGAATTTCCCAGTTTGGGTATTTATTTCAAAAACTATAAAGAACTGCCATCCCCAACTTACTTATATTTCTTATTTATTTGGAAGATGAATTTAAATTGTGAATATAATTTCTTTTCCTTCTAACAAACTAGAAACATAATACTTCTTGAGAAGGTTTTCACTTTTGAAACTTTGGTTTGTCTCTTCCTAAGATTGGGCTTATCTTTTGTTTTCAAAGGTGCCCAGCTGTTGTTTAGACCATTGTTAAATAAATATGAGAAAGAAACACTGGAAAATCAGAACTTATATCTTGTTGGTGCCTCCAATATTAGATTGTTACTGGGGGCAGAAGCAGTGGGATTGGTGAAAGAGTGCAATGATAACACCATGAGAGCCTTCACGTACGGAACCCGACATAACTTCAAAGGTTTTGATGGTGAGTTCCAGGTTCGTTCCTATCATCAGAATCAATTTATCAAAGATAAGTTTTTGATGACTAGACTAGGGATCAGCAAACTTTTCCAGTAACGGCCAGAGTGTAAAAATTTAGGCTGTATAGGCCATATGATCTCCCACAGTTATTCAGCACCGCCATTGTAAAGCAACAGCAGCCTTAGACCATAAGAAATGAGTGGGTAAAACTGTGTTCCACTAAAATTTTACTTACAAAACCAGGTGGTGGACCAGATTTGGCCCATGGGCCTCCACCCCTGGGAGAGGCGAATATAAATGAGAATGACACATGTAACATATTTATATTATTCTATTCTAATTCTTAGAATGGTGAATATCCCTTGGCTTGATAAAGAAAAATCTTATAAGAAACACAGCACTAGTTCAGTATCCTAGAATCTGCATTCCCTGGTAGGTAACTGGCTCTGGTCTCAAAGGGGTCCCAGAAGAGAATGGTTTCTGGAAAGAGCTGAGAACGCCAGGTGGCTGTGGTGTCAGAGAGGCAGTTTGGGCTCAGATTCAAACTGGTCCCTTCCAGGGCTTTCAGAGTTAGCAGATGTGATTAGACTTCTTGAGAGTCACTCACTCTGGATTTTTATATTTTAGTGAATAAATGATCAAGGTGAAATTCACCTCATTTAAGAGGATTCACCTGTCAAAAAACAACACTGTTTCTGATGGGACTTTCTACTCCCCCGTTTATGGTAAGGATGTTCACTCCAGAAGGGGATGGCCTGGGATTGAGAGTTTGAAGGAGGAGAAATCCACATAGGCAAACTTCAGTTCCATTTCTAGTTATAAATATTGTTAGAATTACAGAACATACTGCCTTCTGCTGCTTGGTATTAAATGAGATCAAGCAAGTGTCTGTATAAAAACTAGTACAATGATTGAAGAATTTTGTTAAGTGAAGGCATTACTTAGCATATTTTTATTCTTATAAAATTTCTAAGGAGCTTTATATTCCATTAAAGTGACCATTTTTATACTTTGCTTACTCCTTATTTAATTACTGTTTGCATCCTTATTTCCATAATCCCAGGTTATTTAAATATTATTCATTTTATTTTGGCTATGTCTGAGAAAATAACTGAAAATTTTTGCTTTATTTTAGATAACAATGATGATTTCCTCACAATGGCAGAATGTCAATTCATTATCAAACATGAGCTCGAAAACCTTAGAGCCAGAGATGAAAAAATGATCCCTGGTTACCCCCAGGCAAAGCTGTATCCAGGAAAATCATTATGTAAGTCATTCATTATGTCACCCAGTTTCATGAATATACATTTTAATGCAATTAATTTTTCTTAGTAGATATAAATAACAAATTACAGAGGCTTTATTTTTACACATACCGGCGGTGCCAAACAAATGTATACAAGTGGATACCTTGGTCAGCGTTGCTCAAGCAGTAGTTCGCCATCATCAGAAGTGTCTGGACGCTGATGGTAACCACTTTGAGCACCTCTTGTAATTGCAGAAGTCAAACGTGACTTGTATTCATCTTTTGTTATCGGTATATATTGAGTATTACAATTTTAATAGTTTTTTCCTTTCTCAAAATGTAGGGGTTTCTTTATATGTTTCTTGTTTCCTTTGTTGTTTTGAATGTGGTGCCATGAACAAGAACGGGGCAGAGGTGTCTTTCTGTCACTATGTATTACCAGGAGTTCCATATTGTGTATTTAAGCAGCTGTTTGGTCCCATTCCAAAATTTCAAATCTTAATGTCTTAGTGGAGAGGCATGTTTTCAGACACGGCTGAGCACTGCATCAAATAAAATACAAAGCAGCTGGAGGCACCGCACCCGTTTTAATGTAAGCACCCCGTTTCTTCCTGCTCATCAAACTAATCGGACCGCCTTGTGGAATCAGGCCATCATGGCCTCCACTGTTAGTTTCTGCAGGAATACGTCCCCCTTGGTGTGACTGGGACAGACAGAAGAGTGAGTGCGCTCTTTCGTCAGATGGGACTAAGGAGCAGCAGTGTTCCAAATGCTCCCCACTGCTTCAAAGGGAGAAATTTTCAACTGAAGGAAACGTTGAAGGAAATATGTAAGTGTATTTCCCTTGGGTGTACAGGTAACCAGTCTGGCATCCTGAAGTTGTAAGAGAAATAATTTTCTTGTTGGCAGGATGAGGCTTTTGTAAACAAGGATCAATTCCTCCCTCCCTCCCTCCCTCCTGATCTTTCTTTTTTTTTTTTTTTGTAATAAATATAAAAACAATAAAATCATCTCACTCGTGGTCATTTGAAAATTTTTTTATACCAACTGAGATAAGAATCATATTGAAATTGACAAGGCTGGATGTTAAAATTCTGCATTATCTTCTCCCTTTTTGTCTTGGAAACTGTGTTCCCTAAAAATGCTGTCTTGTATTTTTGCATCATTTTAATTTTACATCATAATATTTGATGGAAGAACATGCATAATTATAAACTGTGAACTATTTCCAGAGTGCAAAATTTAGAACTAATAAAACTTAGAGAAACTTAAAGTCCGAGATTTTCATTAAGTTAATCCATAGAAATAAGTGGAAAGGCTTATTTTCACCTCTAGGTTTTGGGGGCGCCACTCCCTGGGGCCACACCTTCTCTGAAGCTGATTGGCAGGAGACCTGCAACCTGCTCAGTACGTCCCCATCAGCAAATAGAGAGCTGGCCTGGGCTTTCAGGAGAAACTCCATTATCCTAGGTTTAATTTGACTTTCAGTTGACGTGCGGCGATTATAATTGTGCTTGCCATAATGTTGTGTGTTGATAGAAAGCTTTCATTAAGTAGATAGCAACATGTGTCATTGTAAACGTGATGCTGAGGCAGTTCCGTGGTGCTGTGAGCTGTGCACTTCAGGACAGCTCATTCTGGCGAACAGAAGACACTGTGGAGAAGGAGAAAGTGGCCTTAGTTGTCAGTGTTCATGTTGGTGGGCACCCCGTTTCTGGTCTGCTGCGGGGGCTAAGATCTCTTCACAGCCCCAGACCCTGCCTTCCCCGCTTCATCCCTGATAGTGAAGAGCCATGCAAATCACTTAATGAAAGATTTTCTTTAGAAGAGGAGTTAGAGGAGCTGAGAATTTCTTATAGATTAGCTGTGTCTTCAGGGATGTTTGGTTAAAGCTGTTTCAAAATGTCTATCAGGTAATAATCATGTTTTGATTGATGGGATATGACACATCTCATATTAGGTCTTTTATTATATTGTTGTTCTTTTAGAACATTATGGTGATTTCCTTTGAATATCTTCTACATACAAATAGGTTAAAGTATCAGATAAAATCTGTCTTCTAAAATTATTAATCGTCCTAATAAGTATAATGAATAGATTTCAAATAAATATCATATAGCAAGCATGAACATAAGATTAAGCTTGATATATTTATATTCGTGTGTATCTCACTGGGTACCACAGATATATACACACATACATACACGTACTGTTTTTTGCTACATAAATATTTGCTGCTTTTACATTAAGCAGGGATGAAAACAATACAGGAATATAAAAATGTATTTTGAAAATACAGGTATCCCCGAGAAGGTGTTTTTTACTTATTAAGACAAAAGCGGTTTGTTCATACCAGAGTGCTAGAGTTGGGTGGGGCCTGTTGGGGGGTGTTGGAGGGGTCTGTCTTCATTGTGCAGAGGCTACTGCTGGCCGACCTTTACTCCCTGTGGGTGCTGTGCCCTCGCTACCCCTTTGCGTGGGGTGATTGTCGGTGCTGTGCCCTCGCCACCCCTTTGCGTGGGGTGATTGTCGGTGCTGTGCCCTCGCCACCCCTTCGCGTGGGGTGATTGGGGTCAGTGCGACGTGCCCCTCCCTGTTGCACAGAGACTCTATGAGGAGTTGTAAGATTTTTTTTTTTACTTTTGAAGTAAACATATCACATTAACCAAAGCCAGAAGCGGTACTGTATTATTATTGTTATTGCATTATTTAATTTAGAGGGTTCAACTATAAGCCAGGTTACTTCGAGTCTCCCTTAAATTAGATTTGGGTTTGTTTGGCTAATTGTTAAATGGCTGTAATAGTAATAACCCTAGTTACTTGACAACAGGTCATTCAACATTCTGGAAGGAAGGAATCTTGGTTTAAGTTGTTCCTTTCTTTAAATAGACCTGAAGAGCATCATAGTTTCCTTTGAAGGTAAGGCTCATGTTAATTACATTCTTAGCTGACATGAGGCTGAGGATTAAAAAAAGAAGAATAAGAAAAAAACAATCTCTATTTTTAGAAGCTGAAACCAGAACCATGTTTTTGGCATTGATGAAGAGAAGCCCAGTAATTTAGGACGGTGGCTTTATATTCTCTTCACATGCCTATTTTTGGAAGTATTCAAGCTGGGTTTTATGCCTGCCTGGAAAGTCTTCTACAGTAAAACGGAGTCATTAAAAAAAACAACAAAAAAACTTAGAAATAGTAAAATAATAATTTAGATGCCATGAGTTCAAAGTTAAAAAACTTGTAGTAATTGAAAAGGATAGTAATAAGAAGAAAGAATAAGCTACAGCGATGTGTCCCCAAATAAGAGATATGAATCAGAACAGTTATTAGTGACAGACTTTTACTCATGTTAAGAGAGGAAAAATCTATCCAAACGCCTTAAAATAAAACTATTAAAAAATGTTTTTTTAATGCCAGAGACTGAGATAGCTTAAACATATACCTTTTTCAGTCATTAAAAGGGAGGATTCCTTCACAACTCTAGCTTTTTAAAACTTTTCCTCTGTGTAATCTATGTGTGAGATAGAATTGTAAGAAGAACGATATATTAAGAACGAAGAATTTATTTCTTGATCCATTGTTCGTGTCAGTCCTCTCCTCTTTATTATGCTTTTTTTCATTTCTAAGAAGTTAGGTTTACTTTTAACTTACTTTGAGGATTTTATGAGATGGGAGGATACACTGTGTCTCTCTGTTATATGTAGTATTTTTACACTGAAAACTTAAATCCTGTTTCCCTTCCATGCTGCAGACATTTATTTGTCGTTTCTCATTGAGGGGATTGTTGACTGCTATTCTGGTCACCCATCTTTGCTGACTAGGTAGATAGGCAGCCCTGTGAAGAGCTGAGCTGATAAACCTTAAACAACTCAAAGCTTATCAATGGATGAAAACAGCAAAGCATTGTCCCTTGATGCCAATCCCATCTTATAAGCAGCCAGCCTCCTTAGTAGAGGCTCTGCTAGGAACTGTGTAGAAAGCGCTCCATGTCCCCAGATATGGCACAAAGCATTGCATTGGGTTCTCCCTGTCTGTTGAACACACTTCCTCATAAACATCCACTCAGTGAGTCATTCTAAGTAATTATGGATAGAGAACACCAAGTTTCGTTTATTATTACCAGGGGATGTTGTCTTGTGCTAAATTAGTTTGTCTCTTTCAGAGATGGGCATGAGTGTTAAAACCATACTAGTCAGATTGACTGCTGACAGTCGGAAGTCTTTATTTTATTCCATTTTTGTATTTGCGGTTTGTGAATGTAAGCCTTTGTTATCATGTTACAAAAGATGAAAATGATTGAAAATAGTATCAAGAATGAAAGGAACTAAACTATTCTCTTACTTTCACTGTAGTGGGAGGATAGATTAGTAAATTTTTTCTAGGGGCAGCTTTATAATATGGGTTCAAATTTAAAATCCATATGCTCTTGGACCAAACAATTCTATTTAAGTATATATAATTATGAAATAGTAGACAGGTGGGAAAAGATACATGTACAGTTTTAACATTACTTATAATAGCAAAAAAAAAAAAGAAAAAAGAAACAAATATTTTTCAAAAGAAACATTTCATCCAAGGGAATATTGTGACACTGTTAAAAGAAAGTTTCATATTCTATTTATATTGGCATTGAAAAATATTCATAATATACTCCTGCATGAGAAAAGATTACAGAACAATGTGTATAGAATGATCCCATTTAAAAATATATAAATATAAAATAATATAATATAGTAAATAATATAATATTAAAAATATATGTATTGTGAAGTCTGGTTATACACTAACTTGCTATTTATATTGTGATTATTTTTTGGAGGAGGAAGAGAATAAACCGGGTCTCTCCAATCCTGATTTGTACATTTCTGTATGGTTTAAAATTTTATATTGACTTGTATTGCTTTCATAGTCACAGAAAATAGTAAAGATATTTACATTCTGAGGAACAAAATAAATATACACCTTTGGAGTAGGCAGTCTAAGCTTGATCTTTGTGTAGCCACCCCTGTCTTACGGGAGTGGCTTTGTAGCGTTTGATGGAACATAGCATGAGCAATCTCAAACCTGTTTCATGTAGTTTGGCACGTTTTCCCTCTGCAGTGAGAAGATTGCTTACGTCTGGCATCGTGATTCAGGTGTTTCCGCTACACGATAATGAAGCCCTGAAGAAGCTTGAGGACACGTGGTATACTCGGTTTACCTTCAAGTTCCAGCCCGTAGGTATGTGTCAAGGTCTGTTCTCTTAGACAAGGGGAAGACCTGCTAAGGAAAAGTCACTCTTCAGCACTGGTGTTGTCCGCCTTGGGCTCACCAGCTGCCTGTGGGAAAAAATTGAGGGGAAAGGGGAATAAGATGGGTCACATGACGTGTTTATTCATTTGTATTATGATTTTAGGTGGACTGAATTACAAACTAAATTTTACCAACAATACAGACAGGCAGTTCAGAGTGGCCTTCATGAGTACAGGCCAAGGTTGGAGTAGAAGAGATTTGATAAGAATTTAGTTTGTGAATATTTTGTATCTGAAAAATTTCTGTATTTTTAGGGCTGATCATTTGGAGCGAGTCAAGCTGAGCTCTTCCTTAGGGGCAGTCTAGCAGGCCTAAACACCTTTTGAAGTAGTTGATAAGTATCTTGGTGTGTATTACAGATCTATCCATTTTCTCCAAATACAGTGATAACAATACTCATGATTTTATTTGGTGCGTGTTGAACATACTTTGTATAAACTTATGTCAATATGGATGTTCACATTGTTTGCTTTAGTTCTGTTTTTTAAACCTAAGAATTACATTTAACCGGGTAGATTTCACCATGAACATACCTATCATATTTTCTTTAAAGGCCATTTCTCTTTTGATGTTGTTTAAAGGAATCCCTCTAAACTAATTTTCTAATTTCTGCTCTGAAAACAACTATTATAAGGTAACAATGAGCAAAAATTGTTAAGATTAAATTTTGAAATCATATTCTGAATTTTTTTTCTTGCAGTCATTGAAAGGAATAGTTTTGTTTTTGATAATGCCAGATGATACAATAGTCATTTTATGTTACACTTATGACATTTTTTTTCACTTTGGCATTTAGGTGGCAGTAAATTTAAATGTTGCCTCTAGGACTTGTAAGTGAAGTATCCATTAACTACTTTTTAGAAAGTACGGGGAGAAAATGACTTGATGGTGAGGCTGAGCATGGCTGTGGTAGTGGGTTTGAGGCCTCTGGAAGTGCTGGGACTGGTGATAGTAGCTGGAGCACAGGCAGATCCTGAACTTGCCATTGAGATCAAAAGAGAGAGGTCATCTGATTGGAGCCCAGGGCCATGAGCACCTTATTTTTTTCATTGGTTTGATAGCCTTTAATCTGATTCAGATTTGAGGTAACCTCACCATATCCACTCTTTTAATATCTAGCTCCTGGGTTAGCTAGAAAAATGAAGGACAGGAGAAAATAGCTTATCCCAGTTAACTCTAACTCATACCCATAAACTGATCTGACACATTATCTTAAAAAAAAATTACATTTTAACTGTGTAACTTGCCAAGAAATAGTAACCCCAACTGCTGCACCTCCCCCCGCCCTGCATCCCACCCTGCTTCCAGTGCAGGATGCTTTTACAGTCCAGACTCACTCGTGTAGCTGCAGCTGGCGGAGGACGCCATGCTGGTGACCTCTTTTGGATTAGGTAGCTTGTGTCAAGTTCACAGAATATCAACAGCGATGTTGCGTGGGCCTTCTGCCCAGTGCCCATGTGAAGGTATAGATAAATGTGTCCCATGGCTGCTCTACAAGTTAATGTGCAGAATGTTGTTTTGCGCTTTTGAATAATTTTTCTTCAGTGTATTGAAAAATTTGCCATGACACATTGATGCGAATTTATCTTGGGTAGGGAGAGCAGGATACTATGGATGGGGATGATGCTTCTTTGAAAAGAACACCTATAACTATAATATTAAACTAGGAGAAAAGCGGGGAGCATAAATTAAACCCCCAAATTAAAATGGTTCAGTGGCCATGGCTGAATTTCAGTGAGGACCTTGGAGATTGTGGATAGCCCCAAGGTGATTTTTTTCTTTGGAAAGAAGGCATCCACAGATGAGGAAGTAAAGAGGAAAACAGAGCCAGGGTACCTGGCAGAGCCTGGACCCTCAGCTGGGGGATGTGTCAGGCTTGCTGTACAGACAAGTGGGGTCTTTGCACTGCGTGGAGGGTGGGTTTACCATCGCGCACTGATGGGGAACTGAAGGTATTAAATGATCCCCACTTACCTAAAAAATGAATAAGCTTACTTGAATAATAAAAAAAGAAAACCTTTGGCAGGCTGTACTTCAGGTTTGTTTTGTCTTTCATTTTAGACACTATCCGTGGCTACTTTGGGGACACAATCGCTCTCTACTTTGGGTTTTTGGAATATTTTACCTTTGCCTTAATCCCCATGGCGGTCATTGGGCTGCCTTACTACTTGTTTGTGTGGGAAGACTATGACAAGTACGTGATTTTCGCCTCGTTCAACCTGATCTGGTCCACGGTGATCCTGGAAGTGTGGAAGCGCGGCTGCGCCAACATGACCTACAGGTGGGGCACCCTGGTCATGAAGAGACAGTTTGAGGAGCCCCGGCCCGGATACCATGGGGTCCTGGGGATCAATGCTGTCACCGGCAGGGAGGAGCCTCTGTACCCCAGCTACAAGAGGCAGCTGCGCATCTACCTGGTCTCTCTGCCGTTTGTGTGCCTGTGCCTCTACTTCTCTCTGTATGTCATGATGATTTACTTCGACCTGGAGGCCTGGGCCTTGGCTCTGCACGAGGACAGCGGGTCCGAGTGGACCAGCGTCTTGTTGTATGTACCCAGCATCATCTATGCCATCGTGATCGAGATCATGAACCGCCTCTATCGATACGCTGCCGAGTTTCTAACTTCATGGGGTAAGACTTGATGCTGTGCGTTGATCTATTTTTGCCTATATGCCTATTGCTTACATCATAGGATTCACGTAACCACTGCCTTGCAAAGCAGATAGTCATTGCTCTGGGCTCATGGCAGAAACCTAAGGAAAAGTTCACGGGCTTTGTGAACGCCGATGATCTTCAGGTCATGGTCATCGCAAGGCCCATGTACTGAGTGCTAGTTACTGTATTCTAGGTGCCCTGCTGAGCACTGTATTCACATATGTCATTTTCACCCCTCGGGATACTGTGAAATACACACAGTTCACCATTGTGTGGATCAAGATACTGAGACTTAACTGATGCGACCCGCGCATCAAACGAGCACTCCTGACTCGTCAGCCAGGAGTCTACCGAGAGGGGACCTGAGAGGACTGGGTGGGAGACTGGGAAAGAAAGAGACTAGAGACGAAAGCTGAGAACAGGAGGTCCACCCAATGCTGATGGCAGAGAGTGGCCCCATTTATTGTTTATACACAGCTTTTATAGCAAAAGTAACTTTCCTTAGGTAGGGGGGTTTTGGGAACTTGAGGGAATAGTCCCCTCCTCCCAGGGAACACCTCCCCCGGGGCTTTCCATAGGGTGTGTGGAAGCAATCTTCCCAGGGTTAAAGCAAAACATAACAAGCAGAAACTGTTAATAGGATGGCATTCCACTCTGTAGCTTTCAAGGCTGTTGGCTGTTTTCTCCTCAGCGGCCAACCCTCCACACTGCTCACCCGGGCCTGAGAGCCTGTCAGCCTGCCAGCTTTCAGGCTTAACCCTTACTACAAACCTCTGGCTCCCTACACTTAACAAGGTTTGGACAGCAAATGGTAGTGCCAGAGCCAGCCTAATCCAACTCTCTCCGGATCTAAAACCTGTGTTCCTAATACTAGAATATTGTGTTTTATGCTGAGGGTAGAATCGATTGAATTATCTTCTTGATAGCCTGGCTGACTGAGCTATGTCTGAGTATCTGAAAGCCTGTTGTCTAGCTGTGTGGGGCACGGAGACTGCCACTGAACTCAGTGAAGGTGGGTGTTCACATGGGCATCTGTGGTAAAAGGAAATTGGTTATAGTTTAAAAACAGTCTTGATAGTCCATTCACTCTTTATTTATTCACCCAAACAAATAAATATGTTATTATTCCCCAGGAAGAAGTCTAGGCCTTAACTTCATGGACCAGAGATATTTTAAATTATTTTTATCAGTCATTTAACAACAACAACTACCAATTATTGAGTGCTTGCCTTTGCTGATGCTGGGCTAAGGTTTCATATTATTTCTGATCCTGACAGTGACCCTGGGAGCCGGGTGGTGTCAGCCTTGCTTTGTAGGGGAGGAGGCTGAGTATCAGAGTTAAGTGACTTGCCCAGGTCAGACAGTGACTGAGTAGCTGAGTTGGGTTTCAGATCTAGGTCAGCCTAACACTGCCTCTCTGTGCAAGGTGACACTTCTCAGAATCTTCCTTTTCCTTCTTTTGCCCCACTATCTTAGGACCTGCGCAGTGTCTCCTCTTCCTAGCTAACGATGGAAATTCGTTTCCCTTTAGAGTAATCCTTTCAAGACGCACATTCAGAAACCTTTTTTATTGCCCTACTCTTTTGAGGTTGCTATCAGCGTTATCATTACCACTCATTCAGGGTTTTTTTCTGGGTGGCTATCTAGGGGATCATTGGCCAACACACCCCACATTTCTTTGTAGCAGTAATTGCAAAATGATTTCACATGACAGTGCTATTGCAACGCCACAAAAAAACGTGTCCGCATTTGAGTTTCTTCCTCCTCTGGTGTTCTTGGTAGTACACAGTAGCCATGATTGACAGCCTGGTGTGTTTACTGACTGAGGCCCTGGTGTTGGACATACCTGCCCTCAGCACAAAGTCTCACTTCACCTCACAGCAGTGCTCCCTTATCTGAGTGGAATTTCCTCTTCTTTTTCATATTTTAGAGAATCACAGATTGGAATCTGCCTACCAGAATCATCTAATTTTGAAAGTTTTAGTGGTAAGTAGAGTTTGTATATACAACTTCATTTTACTTAGGAAACTAATGCATAGCATTTAATATTTAGGGATATAAATATGAAGCTTATAATTTAAGGTATCAATATGGCAGTTCATATATTTTGTGCAAATAGGCAAGGATTGATTAGTAAGTGTGCTTACATATGCATTCAATAATCTTATTACAAATGTGCATGTGGGTTAAGGCTTCAAATGGAGAAAATGGTATTATAGCCAGTTTCTAGTTATGTAAAAAACGAATTAACCACTTTTTAGTCATGTCTCTATTCTCTTCTCTTTGGTGACTTTTTTGAATATTTCACTATCCAGCAATCCTTCCAGTTAACCCGCAATCTGTTTAGTGATAGAACACTGTTATTTTTTTTTTAATTTTGTTGAAGAAATTTCTAGAGTCCAAGAGGTTCCCAGCACGCTTTGATGGGTAGGAGGAAAGAGATGGAGAGAAGGCACTGTGTACCTTGCTTGCCGTTTGTGTAAAAGCTCACGCATTATGCCTCTTTGCACCATTATTAATAACACAGATATGCTGGCTTTAAAGCACCTCATTTATCGGAAGTTATTATACATCAGCCGTCTACAGCGTGACTAAGAATCAAGACAGTGCACAGGTCCTCTGAACTGCCAGCAGGAATTAATTTAACACAGTTCACGTACTTGACTCCCAAGCAAGTGATCCAGGCCCCCACTTAGAGAGAGTCTTTGTTCCAGCTGTGGAAATCATCCTGAGAAGCTTATTTATCTGTTTTTTCAGTCCTTAAAAGATCAGAAACCCCCACTGGGAAGGTGTTTCGTTTTCTGGAAGTAGGTAAATTTATAGAGGCAAGAGCAGGCAAGGAAATAGATGTCACACGATGCTAAGAAGTCAACAATTTTAGCACTTCGCACGTTAGAAAAGGGGCAAGCGGCCATACATATCTCAAAAGCCTCTGAAGTCCAGCCCTGTGAAATAATTAGTATTCAAAATATTGGTACTGAGTCAGCAAGGAAGTTACGTTCTATGTTCTCTGTTGGAAAGCAGGGGAGCCGGTAATGCATTAAAAAGATCATTCAAAAAGATTATATGGAACTTTTGCCTTTAGAGGTAAAACACTCCTTTTGTCCTAAAGAGTTCAGTTATTTGTGACATTATTTTTCTTCGACGATGCCAGGTGGAATGCCAGGTAGACTGCCTTGTAAAAAGCCTCATAAGTTAGAATCTGCTGGCCTCCGTGGTGCCCCTTCCGTCTCGCCCTTCCTTGTTATTCCTATAGGGAGAGCATTTCTCACCTTCGCAGGCTTTTGCTTTTCACCTTCCACTGTACTTGAGCACCCCACCCCTGCCCTGTGGCTAGAGCCATCAATGGCTCCGTCCCTCCAGTGACTCCATTCTGTCGTTAATTGTTAATTAAGTACCTCTTACATTCAGCAGTCTTGAGTCTCAGAAAGCATGCTGCCAAGCAGGAAGTAGCCAGCAGGGGGCTGGGAGGCAGAAAGGGAACGCATTAGCACAGGGGGTAGTTGCAGGTTCTTGAGCAGGGAACTGCTTGAAGAAATGACACTTGTTAGAGTGGGATCCCCAGTGCAGACCTGTGTGTCTGGGCAGGGAAGGCGCGTCTCAGGCTTATGGTGACAAATATGCTCCCAGGCTGGGCTGCTTGTTAGGCCACTCTCTCTTGCTGGTGCAGCTACCTTAGGTGTCTCCTCACAAGGGTGGGGGGGGGTCTCAGGTCTGTGGGCACAAAGAGGCTTCCGGGGCTGGGCTGCTTGTGGCTGGGGGCAGGGGGCCTTCTTGCTGGTGCTGCTTGGCCATCCTGGAACTCTCCGCGAGGCAGGGGAATGAGTGAGCCGACACTGGCGGGGCGGGGCGGAGGGGAGGAGAGCACATCCCCTGGCAGCGTAATGTCAATGGGGGGTCCTGACCAGTGTCCCTCGCCAGTTCTGCTGGGTTCTCTGCTGTTGTGAGGACCCCTGTTCTAAGGGCGGTGGGTGGGATGAGCCCACCTGGGCTACCTGAGTTACCAGGTTGAGGGGGGGGGATGCCGGGCTTTGGTCTCCCTTTTTGTAGGGGCATAAGATGTGCTGGTGCTGTGTTCCTTCAGTCCCGGGGTCCCGAGCCAGTTGGTCTTCCTTTAGTGCCTTTCAGAGTTCTCCTTTGGTTGCTCTTGCGTTATTTCCAGAGTTTATAGAAGTGCTTAGTGAGGAGGAGGGGGAGGGAAAACAAGTCTGTGCCATCTTGCCTGGACAGCAGAAACTTTGACTGGTAGTCCTTCGTTACGTTTTTAAACACTATTCACAGATGTAATAAAGTGCTGTGAAGCAGCATTAACTGTTGCTGTGTTTTTTTGGCAGTTCAACTTCCTGAATTGCTTCGCCTCTCTCTTCTACATAGCCTTTGTCCTGAAGGACATGAAGCTTTTGCGGCAGGTGAGTGCGTGACAGAAAGGTACCAGCTTTTTAGGTATTAGAGGTGGTTTCCTGTATTCGGGTAATGTCATTGTCTTCCCATTATTATTTTGACAAATAAAATCTTTTAAATTTTATCTATTTCTAAGCCCAATTTTAAATTAAATGAAAATTTAAATCAGTGCACTGTGTATCATACCCAACCGGAAAGAAATTAGTTTGAAGCTAACCAACTTGCAAAACTAATCATATAGGGCAGTAGAATAATAAAAAAAAAAGTAGAATTCATATATATTTGTATTTGTATAGAATTGTAAAATCAATTCTAACAGCAAAACATATTTTATTTTGAACTTTTTTGTGTGTCTCAGGGTGAAGCCTGATTGGTGTAACCTTAAATAAGTCTTACACATTGTATTTTTAAATTAATAAGTTGTTAACCTTTAGAGACCAGATCCTATGCAGTACTGTATCGTTTCTGAAATGTGTAAGAAGGTCTGACTTATATTTTGTTTTGTTCCCGTTTCTGGATCACATAATAGCAGTGAATAGAAGTTGAGTAAAAATTATTGCTTTCTAAGTTCTCTTTTTTAATGTTTGAGCCAGCTATTAGCAAGGGCTGTTCCTTCCTGGTTTTAATATTCTGTGATTGTTAGTGAGCAGACTCTCAAAGCCTAGGCTTCTTAATATTTATATGAGAACTTGGGACCATTTTTTTTGGAAATTAAAAAATTTGTATAACAGAGAAAGTTAAAAGATTTTGTAGTTATGGTCCTAACAGCTTGTATAAAAGTAAAATTAAATGTTGTGCTCTTAAGAACTATACTAGATGTGTTGCTACCTTTTAAAAATTATTTTTGAAAATTGAAGAAGTTCAAAATAGTACTTCTGAAATTGGTAAGTTGGATGTACATACCCTCTCCAGTCCCACCTTGGGTGCATTTGTGGGGTACGACTTCTCATTTCTTATACTTTAGAGAGTCTCCTTTATTTAACAGGGGATGGAGGGATGGGAGAGAATTCTTTGAAAAACAGAATATTAATACCAGCAAAGACAATGTGTGATGGAAACACTGATATCCATCTGGGAAAGAGGAAATTGACACACACGCCACCTCTGGAAACCACGCAAGCAGCTTTGCCAAGGACCTTAATTCATCCCCAGTAAATCACCAGAGAGGGGGCGGAGATCCATGTTCACGGGTACCCAGAGAGTAGCGTTTGTATATGTTGTAGCCAGGATGAGATAACAAAAACACAATTTCAAGGCAATTTGTTCTCCTGCTGACTGACTCATAACTGGTTTATTTTTTTAAATTATAATCTGTATCATAATCTTTTTGTATTTTAATCTAAGTCTTTCCTGTGGAAAAAACCAATAAATTAGAAACACCATTCTAGCACCTAGCTTTTCCAATGCTAGTTTTTATAACGTAACAGTATATTATTTGTTGAAAATTCTGTTTTACTCAATGCATAGTTGTCTACATGCGATGGTTTTGTTAAGCTGCATTGCCAAGAAGCATGTGTGTGCTTCCCTTTAGAGCCTGGCCACTCTCCTGATTACCTCCCAGATCCTTAACCAGATTGTGGAATCGCTCCTTCCTTATTGGCTCCAAAGGAAGCACCACGTGCAGGTGAAGAAGAAGGTGCAGGCTTTAAAGGCGGACATTGATGCTACATTATATGAACAGGTCGTCCTGGAAAAAGAAATGGGAACCTATTTGGTAAGTGGGAGCCTTGTTGAATTAAACACTGACTGAATGTGAATGACAGTCATGTACTGAGTTCCACACATACGTCTACACTCCTGGTCTCAGATAAGTGCTTTCCAGCCAGTTTCCTTGCCATGAACTGTTCTAAAGTTAGAACGATGGGCTATGCATTGCAATGCTGCTGCCTTGAATCTGAAGCTAGGCCAGAGGCTGAGCTTGGCGAGTCATGTGACTGCTCTACGAGGGAGGTGGGCCTAGCTGCTTCAGAGATGACAGCAAGGGAGCAATGAGATAGCCAAGCGGAGGCAGCAGCGTTGCTTGCTCTTGACACTTCAAACTCAAAGAAAAGATGGAAACCCATCGCTAAAAATGGAACGCCAATCTGAAGATTAATTTATAGTTTAAATTACTTAGAGCTATTGTAAAACTAAAACAGTTCCTTTAAGATAGAGTTTATGAGTTATTTTTAGGAACTACCAGTAGATCACTGGACGTTCATAAAACCTAACCGTATATCTAACCAGCTTTTATTGAACTCTGACTGCATTCACTGTTTCTGTATCTGGGGGGACAGTGTTGGGGTAACGTTTGCTTTCAGTCATTGTTTCTTATATCCTGCACCATCCTTCTTGGTATGTTATATTCTTCTTAGTGAAATAGATCCTTCAGTAGCTCACTCAGTGACAGTCTATTATCACTAAACTTTTATAGTCTTGTTTTTCATCTTGAATGAATTTGTCTCCTGGTTATTGAAAATCTTGGTTGACTTTCATAGTTCTACTCATATGTTTAAGAATTTGAGTTTGTATGTTCATCTTGGGTAGGAGTTCTCTCTCTCTCTCACTATCTCTCACTTTCTTTCTTTCTCTCTCTCTCTCTCTCTCTCTCTCCCCCTCCCCCCTTCCTCTCCCTCTCCTCCCCTCACTTCTCCCTGCCTTATTTTTGCAGTTTCCCCCCCACCTTGGGCTTCCAAGGCCCTGGTCCAGAACCTGCTGTTTGTAGCCCAGGGCTCCTATCTTGTGGTTTTGCAGAGCCAGTCACGGAGCCAGTAGGTAGGAAGCTGTTGACACAAGCTGTGGTTCCAGGGCAGCAGCTGTGGCTTTTTTTCCGCCCCCCTTCACAGGCAGGGACCCTGGTTTGGCTCAAGCGGGCTCTAGTTGTACCCTAGAGGAGGGGAGTACCTTTCGTTCCCCACCCCACAGGATGCAGACCCACCTCAGCCAACCCATGCACTCGGGGCCTGGCCAGGCTCCTGCTTACCGTCCTGTACTTTGTTGCATTTCTTGCTTATGCAGCTGATTTTCTTGTTTCTGAGCGGTGATATGTCTTGAGTAAAATATACACACGAGTATATGCACTAGCATTCCCTACCATTGCTGTGTTTGGGGGATTAGATGATTCAAAGGATAAACTTACAGCACATCTTGACCAACAACACTACTTATGTTTATGTATGATGTGTCAGAGAAAACACATACACGTGCACATGCACACACAGGCACACACGCACGTACACATGCAGGGAGAGTTGAATGAAAGGAGCACATGGGCAGAATGTGGTGCCATCTTGCCTGAATTGGTTGAGCACTGGCTTTTACTATGGGTTAAAAATTCATTCTAGCTCACATTGTGTCAGAATCCTTTCCCTGCTTGTTCTGGGGAGTGGTATTTTTAGCCAGTTTTCTTCTTCACTCCCTTATACAATAGAAACTAAGCGGGCAGCCTGGCCCCCGAGTTCTTTATTCCATCCCCTCTTTCACCTGGCCCACCTGGCCTTCCTGTGTCTCCTGCCTCCTCCATCTACCCGCCCCAACCATTCGCAACTCTCCTATTTCAAACCAAGCAAGCCCTTCATGCCCTCTGCTGTTTGTGTCCTGTTTATTTCCTGCCCCTCATAGTTTCTTGAAATAATCCTCCATATTATTGTTTCTATGCCCCTACTTTTCTTCCTGTGATCACTTACATTCTGCTTTCAGCTCTTCTTTTTCTCTGAGTTGTTTGGGCAAACATCATCATCCCCTAAAGTGCCCCAAACCAACCTCATTTTCTTCTTCAGATCAATCTCGGCCCCTTTTCCTCTGGCTCACTGAATGGTATATGATAATTCAAACAACATGCCCTTCATCCAAGCAATTTTAATTTACCGAAGAACCGTATGCTAATAAGGTGACACTGCCAGAACCTTAGCTCTTACCTTCTTGGCATCTCATGACATCTGATAATCCCTTTATGCAGGAAGGCAAGGTAGGCATTGCGTTTCCCATGTTAGAAATAGGCAACTGAAGCTCTGTGTCATTAACCACTTGGTAACTAAATCCGGAACAAGATTGAAGACTTTGCTTTTCCAACTCAGCGTCTGTATTTTTCACCCCGGGCTCTGTGATGTGAAGTAAACAGTGCCCTGATTCCTCTTGTAGGTCCTGGGTCCGTGAGCGAGCCGAGGGTTAACAGTGCCCTCACCTGCTTGCAGGGCCCTGCATGATCTGACCCGTTTTCCCCTTTTCTCCTACAAGTCATCAGATATTTGCTACTTCAGCTCTCTGCATCTATTTGGAGAGGGGAGATGCATCGGGTCGCATTTGTTTTAGGTCATTATTTGCGAGGCATGGGCCCTTCCCCCAGGTGCACTTTTCTCCTCACTGAAGTCAGGGAACTTAGAACTGTATTTTCTGTAACCTCATCCTGACCGCTATGTATGAATCTAAAATAATGTTGCCATGCTTTGGGTAAAGCAGTTTGACTGAAACTTAAAAAAACAGTGTTATAACAGTAATACTTGCTCACTCGGTGTAGAAAACTGGGGACGTGGAGGACAGAGTAAAGGCCCCATCATATCCCCACCAAGAGCGATCCACTGGGGTCCCCCGACCCACTCCGTCAGCCATGGGCCAAACCATGTAGTGACTCGGGCCTTCGCTGTCCCTCCCCTGAGTACTGCCAGCTCCTATCCAGCTGCATCACTGCGTCAGGCTGAGAGTTCATGGCGGATATTCCAGCTGGAATGACGTGCTGCCAGACCATAAACGAGCTGCCTTCTAGTAACTAGACGTTAGAGGTTTCTCGAACACATAAACGAGTGCCACTCTCCACATGAAACATTGTTTGCTTTGGAAATGTAATTATTTTCAAACAATATTTTATTCATGTTAATATGTTTTTTCCTGATTTACCGTATTTCCCCATGTATAAGACGCACCTTTTTTCGAAAAATTTGGGGTCTAAAAACTGGGTGCGTCTTCTACAGTGGTTGTAGATTTCAAATGTCATAGATGGAACTAAGGATGAGGCAATATATGAAGACTGATTCGTCATCAGACACAGATGAGGACAAGCTAATGGTTGGGAGTTTTGACAGTGATGAGGAGTTGTATGAATTTTATGATGAATAAAACCTGAGTTCAATAACTTTATGTGATACATTTTTTTTCAAGTTTTGGGCCCCAAAATTAAGGTGCGTCTTATACACGGGAGTGTCTTATACATGGGGAAATACGGTAAATGAATTGCGGAGAAATATTTTTTGAGGTTCTGAGTGTCCATTTTTAATATGGTAAACATCACTGGGTATAACTCCCATAAACAAAAGCTCTTTGGTCTTAATAATTTGTATGAGTTTAGGGCTTCGGAGACCAAAAAGTTTGAAAACTGCAAATCTAGAATAATTTCCTGGGCTTTTTTTTTTTTTGCTTTTGTGAAGCCAGTTTATCCCGTGGTTTCCTCACAAGATTCAAGTTCAGCGATTTGGGAGGTGCACCTTCATTGCACCCCATCAGGAGGCACTGATGTCAGGTTGTCGCTTGTGTGGGGCTGCCTTGTTCAATCACTTGATTGACCTGATGACAGGCAGACGAGCAGGCAGAGGTTCTTTTCACTTGGTAATGAGTAAGCCACCTGTGGGTTGATACTTTGAGACTATTGTGTTCCCTATAAATGGTACGTAGCTCTTTAAAAGTCGTTTGTAGTTGTTTGTTCAGTTGATGTATGGGAATGCTATTGATTTTTGTACCTTTTACCCAGCAACTTTGCTGAATTCTCCTATTATCTTCAATATTTTTGTGATTTTATTGGATTTTCTATGTAAACGGTTGTTTCAGCTATTTTAGCTAAGTAACAATGGCCATTTTCTTTTTTCCTTCTGTCTTTATGCTTTTTATTATCTATTGGGCTCATGAATATATTCAATAGAATTGGGACAGAAGTAGTTATAACAGGAATCTGTGTTTTGTTCCTGATTGTTTTGTCTTTTCACCATTGAGTGTTAATGTTTGTTCCATGTTTTTTGGTAGATTACTTTTTATCAGTTTAAAAATGTTATTTTCTCTTTCTTATTTGCTAGGAGTTTTTATTGTGAATATGTTAAGTTTTATCACATGCCATTTTTTGCTGCTGTTAAGTTTATCATAGTATCACCTTTATTATTTTCATATACAGTAATAAATTTCCTAGTGGAGTGCCATCTTTGCATTTAAATGATTGACTCCACTTGTTCAGTATTTTAAAATATACATTGTTGTGTTGAATATGCTAATATTTTATTTAGGGTTTTTGTGCCATTTGCTCATAATTTTCTTTTCTCAGTCACCGAGGATTGGGACTCCATGTTATTTATTCATCATAAAACTCTGTTTTTAACACAAAGCCTGGCATTTAGCAGATGCTCAGTATACTACTGAATAAAGAACAGTCTCAGGAAAAGAACAGCCCAGCCCCTAATGTCTGCACTGCCTGTTGACCTCACTTTATATTTCTTTCCTTGTCAGTCATTCAGATCTGCACCAAATTAATACCCTCAGCATCGTGAACCCTGACCCATGGCGTTTCTCCAGGGGCGGTGTGAGGAGTGAGTGAGCTAGATCACCTGGAACCAGAAACTTTGCTTTCATGCCTTTAATAAACTAGATATGTAAAATTAATTATGATTTTTACAAAAATACCATACTATTCTTAAGAATTGCTTTGTTCTTAAACTTTGTATGTGGGTTCTTAGAATTTCCTTAGTCAGTTGGTCTTAGCTAACTTGCAGCTAATAGGGTAGAGTGTGTCTTGGTTAATGGATTTTTATTTTACTATGTGATTGATTTCTTTGTTAAATCTGCATTGTTTTTCTTGTTGTTGGATTATGTCCCTGGTATACTAAAGTTACTCACTCAAACGTGCTCAGAAGTGTAAAAGTACTGAGAAAGCGCTAACGTGTAAACACTACCACTCAGAATCCCTTGTGAGATGGAACCACGGAAGGCGGAGCATACTGCCATGTGGAAAAGGGGTCCCCGGTGTTGTGTGCTAAAAATGCCAGGAAGACCTTGGCATGACTGCCAGGGCCCACCCAATGGCACATCTGAGAGAAATAGCCTGCACATTTCTTCAGAGGCTCTACCTGTTACTTCATGAGCCGAAACAGCGCAATTTTGAAAGCTGAGCATAGGCTGTAAGGATTTCTTTAGACCGAATTGTGGTAAACATGGCTTGATTGCTAAGATTTTTACTTTCTCTACTCTTTATTACTTCACTCTTCCGAGAAGTAAAGTGATGCTATATCACTGGGCATATTTTAAAACCACATCTGTATGCTGCACCACAACATAAGGAAATACTTTCTAGATCCTCATGAAACCCAAGAGTGGTTTAGAAGCTGCTCACCACTGAATCCCCAGCTGAGTGTCAGCTGCCAGCTCCCAGCACATGCGTTTGGCATTGCTCTTTGGCAGGTCTTGAAAACTGCCGGTGAGACTCACCTGCCAGGACCCTTGGGTTCATGCTTCACCCCGACGTCCAGAGCATCTGGAGGAAGCACTTCCTGCCGTTCCCAATACGCTATAATCATGTTTGGGTATTTTCTGTTTTAGTAAAATATAAAATAAGAAACTGACTAGAAGTGGAATCTGACTTATACCAAAGTTCTCAGCTGCTGAAGAACTTTGCATATTTTGGTGAAAGACTGACTCCGAAATGCAGTAATAATTGCTCATATTTAAAATAGTAATAGCTAAATTGCTTTAAAATATTTTGATGAGCATTTTTTGGAACTGCAATTGTCACTGCACGTGCACTGAGGCGGCCTGAGGATGCCACACGTTGGTGAGTGTGGCCTTGGGCATCAGAAGGGCGGGCCTGCTGTCTCAGTCACAGCATGACAGACAGCGCTGCTGTCTCTCTCGGGGCAGAATTAATGTGATACTGTGAACAGCGGGCATCTGTCTAGTGAGGCATTCGAGTGGCACGTCACTGTGTCCTGCTGAGATGTGGTGATGTTACTCAGGTGACAACGCAGAGTCACCCATGCCCAGGCCTCCTGCTTCAATGAAGGCTCCTTTGTCCATTTGTTAAAGATCATTAAATAACTTACCTCATACTGTTCACACCTCTTCCCTCTCGAAGTGAGGGTCTATAACGACAACATAATACCCCTTTCTTCCTTTGGACTAAACAAACCTTTTACCACATCTCAGAAAGGTTTTTAAAAGCAGTTTCAGAGGGGTTTCTTCATGCTTCCGTAGTTTCCTTGTTTTCAGCTGTGCTCCTCTTTCTTTGGTCTCTTTGTATCTACTTCTGCTAGGGTGACTCTGGGGCGCTTCCTTGTTATTATCAGCCTTTTTTCCTTCACTTTAAAAAAAATTGAGGAAAAAATTCACATATCACAAAATGCACCGTTTTAAAATGTACAGTTTCGTTTTGGTTTTTAGTTTTTTGGTAAATTCACAAGGTTGTATGTTCAGCCAGCCATCACCACTATCGAATTCTTCACCAAAACCAAACCCCGTACCCATTAGCGGTCACACCCTCGCCCAGGACATGGCAATAGCTCATCTGCATTCTGTCCATGGGTTTACCTATTCTGTGCATTTCATGTCAATGTATCATATAATATGTGGCCTTTTGTGTCTGGTTTTCACGAAACATACTATTTTCAAGGTTCATTCATGCTGTCACATGTATCAGTACTTCATTCCCATAATGGTTGAATAATATTTTATTATATGGATAAACTCCCTTGTGTTTATCCCTTCATCAGTTGATTCACATTTGGATTATTTCCACTTCTTGGCTATTATGAATAATGCTGCTATGAACATTTGAGTACAAGTTTTTGTATGAACATATGTTACCATATGCTGGGTCATATGTTAACTTTAACTTTTTGAGTAACTGTTTCCAAAAGCTGTGGTACCATTCTGCATCTCAGCCAGCCATATATGAGAGTCCCATTTTTTCTGCATCCTCACCAACACTTTATATACAGAGGGTGCCAAAAGAGTGCCAAAAAAAAAAAAAAAGTATACAGGAAGGAAAGGAAAGGAAAAAAACTGTATTAAAATTACGCTGATGGTAACTACTTTGAGCACCTCTTGTAATTGCAGAAATCAAATGTGACTTGTATTCATCTTTTGTTATTGGTATATATTGAATATTACAATTTTAATACAGTTTTTTC